TCCCCCTCCTCACTCCTCCAGAGGAGGTGAGTTTAAACCCCGCCCACGTGACCCCAGCTGAGCCAATGAGCGACGGCGGGAGGTGAAATCCGGTTCTAACCGGTCCGGGGCTCCCAGCGCTATAAAAACTTTATAAACCCCCCGGAGCCCGAGCAGTGTGAAGAAGCACCGAGAACGACCCCCAGACCGACCAAAGCCGCGCACCGCTGCAGCCCCGCGTCCAGCGCCTGCGTCCCCCCCGTCGCCGCCATGCCCAAAAGAAAGGTACGTGGCGTGAGGGCCGCGGCTCCAGGGCATCGCCGCCGCCTCCGGCGCGGGCCGCGAAAATGGGCGACCGAGCGGGGGCGGCGCGGGGCTCCCGGCGCGGCGGGGCCTGGGCTCACCCTGCGCGGCTCACTGCCCGCGGGCACCAGAAGCCATGTTGGAGGAGCGGCAGCGGGAGGAGCCATGTTGGGCGCTGTGGCCTCCGCGCCCTGCGGCCGCGGCGCCCCCTCCCCCACCGCAGCCCCCTCCCCTCCTCCCGGCGGGCGGGCGGCCGAGCGGGCGATTCAAACCCGAAAGGGCGGGAAGGCGGCGCTCAGGCTGGGCGGGCGGGGGAGCGCTGCCGCCAAAACTGCCGTCGCCTGGGGCGGGGCGCGCCGCGGCTCCTCCCCCTCACGCCCACGTCCCCGGCGCACGGGATGCGCCGCCCACGGGCTCCCGGGCTGTACGTGCCCGCCCGCTCCGGTCGTCGACGGCTGTCATGGCAACGGCTCTTGGCTCCGCCTTGGGAAGGCTTGTTTGCACCAGCTGCAGCTGTTGCTCCGACCCGAGCGCGCTTGGGCCGCAGCCGGGCAGACTGGTCCCGAAACGCCGCGTGGGGCACTTCCAAGTTCTGGACGATGACAGGGTCGCTCTGGAGCTGCGGTGTCTTTTCTTATAGGCTGAAGGGGATGCCAAAGGAGATAAAGCCAAGGTGAAGGACGAGGTGAGTCTTGATTCTCTTCAGGGGCGTCGAACAAAGCCCTAAAAAACACGAGCCCGCTTTGGTATAGTTCACAGCCCTTGTATGGAACTTGCCTAGAGTTTTGTTCAAGCTGGCTTATTTTTCTGACTTTTTGTTTTAATAGCCACAGAGAAGATCTGCAAGATTATCCGCTGTAAGTGTGTATGCTCTTTCATTTCTTTTATTTATCCCTGACACTAAAAAGCGATGGGGGAGGTGAGGTACCCCTTTGATTTCATTGAATTGTAGTGAGAGGCTGGTTGTGAGTGTCCTGTCTTGTTTTACTGCACACCTGGGGTTTCCTTCTCCCAAGTTCTGATAGCTGTGGAAGGTCGGCAACAGAAAGGCGACCACGAAGCTGGAGGGATGGCTCAGGGGTTAAGAGCCCTGGCTGCTCTTGTAGAAGACCCAGATTTGGCTCCTAGCACCTACATGGCTGTTAATCTGTAACTCCAGTTCCAGGGGATCTCACATCCTCTTCTGACTTCCCCAGGCATTGCAAACACGGTGCACTTACGTGCGTGCAGGCAATACACGCAAAAAATACACGCAAAAAAAGTAAAGATACTAAAAAGTATTTTTAAGACAACCACAAAAACTGACAAGTAGGAGAGCTTTCCTGGTTCTGTCTTTGGTTGTGGGTGGTTTCTTTGCTCTTTTATGCTAATTGCTTCCTGTTTTGCCTTCCACAATAAGAAACCTGCTCCTCCAAAGCCAGAGCCCAAGCCTAAAAAGGCACCTGCAAAGGTAAGAGGGGCTGAGGGACAGCCATGCTAATAGTAGTTGGTAATGTTCACAGAAAGACTGTCCTTCACCACCTTAACGTAATTCCACATAATGTCGGTTGATGGTATAAGTTATCTCGATAGCCTTAGTCTTTTTTGAGGCCGGGGGTCTTTTTGAGACAAGGTCTTCCCTGTATGCCCAACTGGCCTGAAATACACTATGTAGACCAAGTTGGCCTTGAACTCAGAGATCTGTGGCCCACAGAGCCTCTGTTGGGATTAAAAGTGTGGGTTACCACATCTGGTGATAGTGTTTTCCTTAACACTTTCTTTGGTAAGAATTCCTTTATCAGTAATTGACTTTTCAATAATGAGTTTTTCTATGTTGAGAATCACAAGGTAGAATTCAGCCTAGTTTTCATCAGTTGTAAATGCATGGTAGGGAGTGTGATTCAAGTAAGCCTGCCTTGTATAGAACTTTGTTTTGTTTTTTGGTCTTTTTGAGACAGGGTCTCCCTGTAGCCCCAGCTGTCCTGGAACTCACTATGTAGATTAGGCTGGCCTTGAACTGCCTCCCAAGTGCTGGGAGTACAGGCATGTGCCACCATGCCTGGCCTTGTGCAGAACTTTGTAGATCATGTCCTGGTAATCTGAAATGAAATGTTCATTTACTGTGCACCCCTTCCCCCCCGCCTTTTTTTTTTTTTAAATAGAAGGGCGAGAAAGTGCCCAAAGGGAAAAAGGGAAAAGCTGATGCTGGCAAGGATGGGAAT